TACCCCTCTCATGAAATCATCCTGCAATTCCTTTTTGCAGATCCCGAGGTGATGCTCACCCACACCAGCAATGGAACGCTCGCCCGTCTCCTCCTCAACATTGCATACGACCATAAGGTCCGCCTTGTTCAAGAGCTTCAGACCCTCATGTCGTCCTCTGTGGCCTTGCACTGGATGCCAATTTGCAAAAAATGTGAAACCGGGAATTTCATGGCCCGAATTATGTGAGCATCGACTTCCTCATCATTGGTGAGAGTAGCACTTTTGGTGATGACGTCATCAAGGCCAACCAATGCCACTATGTTGCCACACGGGACGTCCTCAATAGTCTCCTGCTGCTTGTTCTTGCCCATACAGATAACCGTACCCTTGACGACGCTCCCGACGTACAGATCCTCCTCATTCTCCCCGGGTAAATAGTTTGGGCCCATGATTCTGACCGTGAGGCCAGCCGAGACCTTTCCAGAGAACACTCGAGCAAAGGCCAAGAACTTTCCCTTGTCAGATGCTGGAATCATCTTGGACACATAAAGCATGAGGGGCACAGCTCCTAATGGCCATTGCATAGGCATCATCAAGTGGGCCGGAATACAGACTATCCACACGGTAGCTCTGGGCCGTGGCAGGTTACGGGAGATGGAAGATAATCATCTCCAGAAGGGTGCTGCTTGCCGGGAGCCACCGCTTCATCACGCACTTCATCACTTGCTTCCCCACCAACTTCCCAAAAACTCCTCCTCTTTTAAGGTCAAATTGACCTCAAGCTCCTCCAGACCTCCCCACAAACTATCCTTCTTCTTTTCATTCATGCAGGCACCGATGATATCTTTGATCGGGTCATAGCAGAACATGACAAACCCACGTGTACAAGTCGGGGAGCTCGTCCTACTTTCCGTCCACTCCTTAGTCTGGGGATCAAAGAAATTATCCCCCCAGAGCCTCTTAATCATTGTCTCCTCGTCCACACTCATTTTTAAGGCGTAATACGTTGCGAAAGTACTGAGGGTGAATGCCCAGCCGTCAATCCCAGCAGAAAATGCAACAGTCCCCTTCTCGGGGGACACCTTGAAATCGCAAAGGATGTCATTAGTGTCCTCAACGATCTTCTTAAAGTTCTCGTAAGCCTCCTCGCCGTCCATATCGAGCTCGAGGAAACACCGGTCCATCTTGTTGAGGGTGAGGACAGGGCGAACGCCCTCGGCCATGGCCTGCCGAATGACACTCTCGGTCTGGAAACGCACACCGTCAATACAGTCGACCACAACAATGGCCCCGTCGGTCATGCGGAGGGCTGCTGTGACATCGTACGAGAAGTCGACTTGTCCGGGGGAGTCTATTAGGTTGACGAGGTACTCATTGCCCTGCCTTTCACCCTTGTAGCCCTTGAGTGACTCGTCGCTCATATTGTAACACAGAGAGATTGCTGTCGATTTGATGGTCATGCCACGCTCAGCCTCGTCCGCGCGCCGGTGTCACTGGCGACCACCAGGGAGTCCGCGAGGATTTACTTGCCTGTAGAAGAAACAAACATGATCGTTCAGGATCAACGGGGAATCCCCAAGGTGAAGAGTTATGAATCAGAATTCAGAAGAGGAGTTTGGTGTTTACCATGGTGTATGTGCCCAATAACTGAAATGTTACGGATATTGTGCTTGTTATCCATGATTCTGCAGAGCTTCTCCATGGACACCTGCAAACATAAGTAAAGATTAGGAGAAGATGATTTAATTAAGTGCCCAAGATACCTGACTTGAATCCCCAAAACACAAAAGAAAGTAATTTCATCAACAAACCGCTATAAATGAAAGCCTTCGAAAACTGACCTACAATGGCGCTGTGTTGGATTTGTTCAACGCCGGCAACCCGCGCACTACGTCGTCCTTAGCTATATTGGCCGATCGATCTGCAATGACAACTGCAAGAAGATGTTAGGGTTTAGGGGCGGACCGACGATCTTCTTTGGCCGATCGATCTGCAATGACGCCGAGCTTCAACAATGAAACACCGGTCGTGTGGGCAAAAAATATTTTGCGGCATATTTTGTTTTGTATTATTTGGGGACATAATGGACATTTTTTTTTTGGTAATCTTTTGGTCCTCCATGTTCAGGGGTATCCAGACTGAGTCCCTATTATGTTTTGGTGCCTAATTTTAGTCCTTAAAACAAAAAATGTAGTCCATGTTATGTTTTGGTGCCCAATTTTAGTTCTTAAAACAAAAAATGTAGTCCCTATTATGTTTTTGTGCCCAATTTTAGTCCTTAAAACAGAAAGATATAGTCCCTATTATGCTTGGGTGCTCAAATTTAGTCCTAAAAATAAAAAAATGTAGTCCATATTATGTTTTGGTGTCCAATTTTAGTTCTAAAAACCAAAAAATGTAGTCCCTGAACCTCAATTTCTGTGAATTAACGGTCCATTTTTGTTAATAACATCAAAGTAGTTGTGTAAAATAATTTAAACATCGAAAAGATGAAATCAAATTTCAAAGGAACAAATTATTGACGTGATCATAAAAATCATGATACATTCATTGCATAATTATTAATTATTAAATATTAAATAATAAAATTATATATTAATATTACATACCCTGCACACAACAATCCATCCACTCATCCGTGAGTGGGTCCGGCTCATCTTCAGTGCCTTGCGCGTTTCCCTAATGAAGCCTCCTGGGTCGTCGTATGTCCGGTAGTTGGGGAACTGCTTGAAGAACTCGTTCGAGGGGTGGTTTGCGTAAATGACAATTTTGTCCATGGCCAGTGCCTCGGCTGTGGTTGTGCAAACCACATTTGTTGTGCTCGGGTTCAAGTACACTTTAATAATTAACAAATATGCAATGACTGTATCATGATTTTTATGATCAGGTCAATAATTTGTTCCTTTGAAATTTGATTACCTCTTTGCGATGTTTTAAATTATTTTACACAACTACTTTTATGTTATTAACAAAAATGGACCGTTAATTCAGAAATTGAGATTAAGGGACTACATTTTTTGGTTTTTAGAACTAAAATTGGGCACCAAAACATAATAGGGACTACATTTTTTTTTATTTTTAGGACTCAAATTGAGCACCCAAACATAATAGGGACTATATTTTTCTGTTTTAAGGACTAAAATTGGGCACGAAAACATAATAGGGACTACATTTTTTGTTTTAAGAACTAAAATTAAGCACCAAAACATAGCAGAGACTACATTTTTTGTTTTAAGGACTAAAATTGGGCACCAAAACATAATAGGGACTACATTTTTTTGTTTTAAGGACTAAAATTGAGCACCAAAACATAATAGGGACTCAGTCTGGATACCCCTAAACATGGAGGACCAAAAGTGAACTTTTCCCTTTTTTTTTATCTAACACTGTTTGGACAAAAAATATGTCACCCTCATCAACACAAGACTAATTAACCGTGTGTATGCAAGAAGATTAAACTTCATTTTCATCCCGCGCCTGTAAACGAACCGAACGTTTACGAACAAAAACTCGTTCGAGCTTGTTCGTGTTTGACAAAAGCTCGTTCGTTTGTTAATCGAGCTGAGTTCGAACGTACAGTCGTTCAGGAACGTTCGATTATGGTCGCGAATATTAATTTAATATAATTTTATTTAATTTTATTTTTTTATATATTTGCATAATATTTTTAATAAAGTGTCTAAAATTTAATATAATTTTATTTATTTTTTATATATTTACATAATATTTTTAATAAAAAAAACTGAAGTATAAAAATATTTTTATTTTATTCTTTTATTTTCGAGGTCGAACAAACAAATTTCGAGTTGATCAAACATATTAAAAAATATATGTATTAAATTATTCGAACATGAACGGACTCGAACTTTGACGAACAATTAAACAGACAAGCTTGAACACGATTTTTGCTCAAAAAATAAACGAACGTAAACGAACACGAGCTCGAACAGCCCAAGCTCGGCTCGGTTCGGTTCGGTTCGTTTACAGCACTAACTGCCGAAACATATCCAACGGGCCGTTTCTTCAGGCTACCAAACGCAAGATAACTGCAGATAAAGCAGTAAATCCTGTCATGTCCTTCCAAACAATAATCTTTTTTTTTTTTTTTTCCAATAAAGATCAATATATATAAAACTCAAACAAAATTGTTCAAACCGGACATCAACTGACATACAAACCAACCTACCTAAGAAGCATAGTTTAATAATATCACAATTACAGACTCGAGATAGGAGTGGCAATTTTAGGCACAACATGTTTGGCCAACACGAAACGGTAAAGTTTTGGGCTGGGACAGGATTCATGCCACAATCCGACTGGCCTTAAATCAGGCTAACTTTTTTCAATTAATACATAAGTAATAATCATTTGTTATGACATTATTTTAGGATTTTACATGACAATTTATCCTTCAGAAAC